AATATAAATATATATATATATATATATATATATATATACATATAAATATATATATATATATGTGTGTGTAATATAAAAGTAAATAAAAAAGTAAATAAAAGCAATATACAGTATAATATTTATCTAAATTACATAATTGTATAATCATTGTGCATTTTGCTGTGCCAATTAGGTTTTCATTGTTTATTTATTTTAATATTTAATTTAAACAGCTGAACTCAACTAAAGAAAACAAAAATAAAACAAAAACAAATAAGGAAGTTGACGATAATGATAATAAGAATGATAACATAAAAATGTAAATGATATAAAGAGTATATTATTGATTTACATATTTTCTTTTTCTAAAAACATATAGCATACAATAGCTTTCAAGGTTTATACCAATCTACATCCTATAGGTAATTTTGATCTAAGTGACAACATTTGTTTCGTTTTCAAATCTCTGTAATGGAATTTCTTGGGAACTCCGCAGCAATTTGATTACGTAGGTGATTGACACAATGAACCAAGAAACGCACGTTATCCAAGATGCGGTCTGAAAAATAAAAAAGCATTAGGAGATTATGTGACAAAATGTAATGCAGTAATGGAAAAGTAAATTTTGTGTTGTTTGTCTTGATGCATTTTTATTTATGTTTAATAAAGGAAGCATAAAAATTTATTTATAATTGTGTTAACATATTATACATTAATATGTGACTTTTCATTTTTCCTTATACACAAATGTCTCCCTTTAATTAAAGATCCCTCTAAATTAAAGAGCACCTCGAAATAGAGACTACTTTCCTGTCGTCCAAAATTAACAAAAAGTCTTTTATCGTTATTATTGTAATCAAAGACCAAAGCTGCCAAATTCGATGGAAACCTTGATTCCAGAAATGGCATATAAACTTTACACCCAGCACAATTCCTTGATGCGTGGAAAAATAACAAACGTCAATATGGTAACCACCATAATTTGTCACAACCAAGATTTAAAAATGTCTAAAGAAAACATAACCAAATTACTTTTGCTAGCTACGACGCGTCGGGACGGGAACACATTTTTTGTTTAAAGGTAAATATTTTGAATAAATACATGGGGTAAGTATGGGATCTTTACAGCCCCCATACTGGCGGATGTATTCATGGGAACCAATGAAAAACTATGGCTCTCTGATCCTAAGTGTCCAAACATTCTACATTATCGTAGGTATGTTGATGATACATTTTGTGTATTCAATAACCAAAATGACGCTAGAGAGTCCAGACACCCTAATATAAGTTTCACGATGGAAAATGAAAATTTGAATAATCTAAATTTTGTAGACGTTCTTATACATAAAGAAAATGGTGGCCAAGTTAAAACAACGATATTTAGGAAAAGTACTTTCACTGGTCTCCTCTTGGCATTTTGTAGTTTCTGTCCACAAACTTGCAAGCTGAGACTAATCAAAACACTTATTGACAGAATTTATAAAATCAACAACAGCTGGAAGGGTTTCCATTATGATCTGACGAATCTAAAAGAAATACTATTAAGAAATGGTTACCCCTCATATGTCATTGATAAAATTTGCAAACAATATATTGATAATAGTGTAACTAACTACACTAAATCTAATGTTAATAATGATGATGCTTACAAAGTAATGTATTTTAAACTTCCATTTATTGGTAAATATTCTGACGATATTAATATTATATATTCATTTAGCATTGCATAACCTGATAGGCTATATACTATAAGCATATGAATATAGAATATTAAGTAGTGTATTTAAGTTATTAATTTCCCACAATTACCTGAGCACCTTTAAACAGGTGGATGAAGTTTTTACCACCCTCACCGTCTTTCCAGTGTTTCCATACATCAGGGTTTTGGGCATTTTCGCAAGTATTAAAGTATTCTGTCAATCCATTACATATTTTATGTAGGGAAACAACGAGAATGATTGCTGATATGAATGCAAGTATTGCATAGATGAGGGATGCAACTGCAAGAAACTGCAGAGACCTACCAACAAAAAAAGAAACATAGTCTTTATTGCTAATAAGAATTATTGGAAAAATACAACATTGTAAATGGAAGTAGGATTGTTCATGGAAAAAGCACTATATATTATCTACTTTATTATGACATACAAACTTAATTTGCATTTTGCTTTAATATTATGCTGGTAACCTTGTAGGCCTACCAAAATTAGAAAATAAAGACAAAATATATCACGCTAAAATTTGTGACACTAATATAATTCCAAACTTATTTTAAATAAGTTAGTTGATAAAAGAAACTGGCTTAGTGAATACGCCTCGTTAATACAAGCTATTGCAAAAGAGTGGTTGTGCGTCTAAGACATTACAGTGGTATAAGGCAATGACGATTTCTTGATGAATATGATAGTATAAGTAAAATGAAAACAAAAGACATTTATTCATGTTTTGTTGATAAAATGTTTATCCCACCCTATGTTGAAAGTAAATGGGATCTATTTATTGGAGAAAAAATAAACTGGTCTAAGGTCTGGATGAGAAAAATAAAGGAAGAAAAAATAGAAAATATGAACAACTAAATTATAAATTGTTAAACAAAATCTCTCCAACAAATAGGCAATTGTATAAATGGAAGTTAAAACACACTGACACATGTGATACATGAGCAGTCGAAGATGAAAAGCACATGTTTTTTGAATGTCTAAAAAATAGGATATTATGGGAAAATATAGACAATCTATTTAAGAAACTTGACAATAGTCAATCTTCGTTTAAAGAATAATAATACACTGTGATATAAGAATTTAAAAAATGAAATATATTCCATTGCAGTATTTGCTATATAAAAAATTAAAATTCTAACAGAGCTAGGTAAGCCAGTTTGTAAAAATGAATGGATTATATTTAAGAATTTTGTAAAAGAAAATAATTATGAATGGAACGTTATACTTGAATGAGTTTTATTTTGTTATCTAGTATTATTATCATTGTACTAATTTTGAATAATTGGGATTAAATTGTAAAGTATTTGAAAAGTATATTAAATTAATTAAGAATTATATTATTATAAATATTTAAAAAAAATAATAAGAAAAGAAACAATGGAATAAGGTTTGGTAACCACACAAGAAAAAAAAATATATACATATTTAAAAGTATATATACAGCAATGTAGTAAAGTTTAGTTTAAACACTTTAGATTGTAAGGTTAATCTAGTTGACGTCTTACTTATGCTAAAGTCATAGTGTATGCATAATTAATTGTGTAATTGGTATCAATATTACCGTATTCCGATCTTAGTGAATAAAAATGTTTAATATTGATAATAAAAATTTAAAAATCAAAAAAAAAAAAAATGGTGAAATAAAGGTGAGAAGACCCCACAAAAGAGAGAAAAAAATATAAAATTCCAAACTTCTAACCACCATGGACAGCACGTTACTATGGAATATATTAGATTGCATCATCAATGACTACCAAAAACTGATCTATTTTCAGTAGCTTAATTTATTATAATTATTGCCTTATACCAGCGCCCTCAGTGGCATGGATGTCGATCGTCATGGCATTGACATGGCATCTAACCTCGTGGGCTAAGTTAAATCATTTGCAGCAAATATGCAATAGACTTCCATTTATGTAGTGTTAACCCGGTTTTTGTAAATTTTGGTGGTTATGAGGTTTTCTTTTGTAGGGAGAGAATTTACGTCATTTTAATAGATATATTATAATAATCTCTGCATAGGAAAACTATACATAACAGCAGTTTCAGTAGGCAGTTCTACTAAGATACTAGAAACAGAGAAAATAGTACTCTCCACATATACAAAACTATATCACCGTAATGGATGATGGCTATAGTATACTTAAGTTTTTGTTCATCTTCCGCTGAACGCGGAGCCCCATTTAATTGGGCGTCGCGTACTACTCGACGGAGGTGTAAACTGTTGCTAGAAAGTTTTAGGCGAAACGAATTTGCGCATGCGCAAGTAATGCTTTCACTTACCTTAATGAATAATTCATGACTTTTGCTCAACTTAACTTCGATAAAAAATCGTGTCCCGTACGATGGGAGACTGACATTGTTAATATTGGAAAGAGATTGGCGCCACTTACGGCGGAAAATTCGTAAAATTTAAGACGTATTATAATATCCGCTTTAATTTTGCTACGCGAGAGTTGTGATTTTAGTTTCTTTGGTTCTACTTAAAACACATACCTTTTAAATTCTTTCTTTGTGACCAGCTTTGCGATGATGAAAATTATCGAGACACAACTGGCAAAACAAGCTGTGCCCTGACTTTTAATGAGGAACGAACAGGTTCCTCCACTTTTTGCTCCAATTTTAAAGCAATGTGGTGCATCACATTGTGGTGTTAGATCAGGAGTATCCCACTTAACTTCCGACAAGACAATACATCGTCCATTAAACTTTGCCTTTATAAAAGTATAAAATAAAATAGGCTTAAATATCAACAACCTATAATAGGCCATGGGCTGGAAAGTGGGGGGGGGGGGTCACCATGCACCCCCCCCCCCCGCTAAGCAATTTATTATCATTATTACTACTGTATATGATATTATTTTATGTTGAGTTTAAATGAATCTGTGAAAAGTACAAACAGAATAATATGTTTTAAGTGTTTTGGAATCAAGTCGAAGCACGTGAAGTTGTATTTTTGTGTGAGTTTGTATTTGTGTGTGTATGTATGTGTGTGTGTCTGTGTGTGTATGTATATGTGTGTATGTTTGTATATATATATATATATATACATATGTATATATATATATATATATGTATATATATATATATATATATGTATGTATATGTGTATGTATTTATGTACGTTTGTGTGTATTTATGTATATTTGTGTATGTTTATGTATTTGTATAATATGTATTTATATTGATATTTATATTGCTGTTTTGCTGCTTTTGTATTGTGTTGTCGAATTATGAATGAATAAATAAATTAAAAAAAAAAACATTTATGCCATAACCTGTGAATTAGAAATCCCATCAATATTATTTTGGTAGCAATGTGTAGCATATATGTTTCTTAATCATATGCAGTTTAAATAAAATTCATCAGACAATTTTAATAACGTCACTAGAGGTCAAAAGTTCAATTTTTTTCATAAAATATCAATAAACTTCAGTGTCATATGTCTAACTGTGGATGTATTTGATACAATTTTTTTTTTCTTGTAGTTATTAACATATGGAATACAAAAATTGAGGTTAACAAGAAAAAAAAAATGCATTATGTACTATTGTCAATGTTTATGATCCGAGAAATTTTTAATCAACAACAGTTTTTGGGGTAGGGGTAACATTTATGCTCATAACTCTTCATTTAGTCAATGGATTTGTATGATGCTGGTATCAACATTTAGCCTATAGATTGGTCAGTCATTCAAATTGAAAACATTTTGAAACATGCAGAAATTGACGTAGCTAGAGGTCAAAAGGTCATTACAGAGGTCAACGACCTTTTGACCTTTAGACACGTCAATTTCTGCACAAGTCTTAAATTTGAATGGCTGGAAAATCTACAGGCTACATGTTAATACCAACATCATGCAAATCTATCCAATAAATCATGAGTTATGAACCTAAATGTTAACCCCTACCCCAAACATCACCATTGATTAAACAAGTAATAAAAATGGCAGTTATACATTTAATCAATTTATACATTTTTCTTGTTAATATCATTTTTGATATTCCATATGCTTATTAATAATCGAAAATACTAATTGGTATCAAATCTACTCACAGCAGGTAGATTTGTAAACGTTTGTGAGTGAATTGGGAATAAATATACAACTTTTCTGTGTAGGTCAATGATCTTTTGATCTTTAGTTGCGTTAATTTCTGCCAACTTCAAAACTTTTTAAATTAGAATAAATGACCAATCTATAGGCCAAATGTTGGTACCAACCTCATACAAATCTATTGATTAAATCAAGAGTTATGAGCATTTAATGTTATCCCCTACCCCAAAAACTGTTGTTGATTACAAATTCTAAGATTATAACACAATGACAGCAGTACATTTAATCAATTTATACATTTTTCTTGATATCATTGTTTTATATTCCATATGCTTATTTATAATAGAAAATACTTATTGGTATCAAATCTACTCACAACTGTAGATTTGTAAACGTTTGTGAGTGAATTGAGAATAAATTTACAACTTTTCTGTGGAGGTCAATGACAATTAAGAAACATATATGCTACACATTGCTACCAAAATGACATTGATGGGATTTTTATTTCACAGGTTATGGGCATAAATGTTACCCCTCACCCGACCCCCCCCCCAAAAAAAAGCATTGACCATAAAACACTAACGACCATTACAAATGATGCGAGTACATACAATGCAGCCCTATATTTTTCTTGATAACATAAATTTTTTTGTTCTATATGCCATAGGAACAAAATGGTACCAAGGACGTTTAACTGTGGGGGGGGGGGTGCACGGTGACCCCCCTCTAGCCCATGGCCTATAACGAGCAACAAATAATTTATAAACATCGACTACTGTGTACAATTATACGGTGGCTGATTTCCGCCAAACCGCATAAAAAAATTATTAGGGCGTTATAACGCCCTATTACGGCGTTATAACGCCCTAATACGGCGTTATAACGCCCTATTTAGGGCGTTATAACGCCCTAATTTGAAGTATATTTTGACCCAATTTTGACTCCATATTAGTAGATTGCAGAGTTAT